AAAAATTTAATGCATTTGGGTTTTAACTATGGGTCTAAAACATAATTTTAAAAAATTTAAACTCAAAGGATAAAAGAATGAATGAAGCACATGAGTAGAATACTCACTCTCTTATAAGATTGTTTCAAACCATATAACAGTATTTGTTCTTTGTCCTATATTTTTCTAGAGAGAATAAGAGAGGAGAGATAGTTGATGCGTTCTTATTATTAACATTATTAAATTTGTTGCTTCAACTTTCATTTTCATTTTTCAAAGGGAAAACAATTCAATGTCATCAATTGAAATGCAAGGGGACATAAACAAATTTTGAACGCAGGTAGAGGACAAGGAACGGCTGTATAGAGGAACACAGGTAAGCAAAGTAGCTGAAAGGACAAAAAGAATTGACTCGGTCCGCTAATCAGGGACCAAGTTAGATATGGGTTTTGAGTTCAGCTGCGTCTGTGAGATTACAGGTTTGAAGGCAATATCGCCACCGTCGGTGTTTTTAGGAAGTTGTCACTACCGCCGCCGCTCGGGTGCCCAGGTAATGCTAAAATTCTTGTTGTCGCCGCTCGGATGCCCATGTCAAGTTCGAGTTCTTCCCACCGTCGCCCGGTTCTAAGTTCGGCAGCTTTGATAACCCACTGGCGGCTGTAATTTGTTTGAAGAAAATAACCAACGTCTGACGTCGTTGCTGTCCAAAATTCTCGAGCTTGGCCGATCCGCTGATGCATAGTGACTGGCTAGAAACCACCGCTAATTTGTTTGATAATTCCCCATTTCCCCTAATGCCACAATGGGCCCAGATAAATGTGGGCCCGATAATTATTGTGACATGTGGTATGGGCTTTATTAATGAGCCTAATAGAAGGCTAAATCAGGAGGCCAGAAACTGTCTATGGCGCGCTAATACTTTGAATGGGAAGTGGGAAAATAAAGGGAATAAAAGGACAGAATTATCCCTGGCGAAAATTAAGGGGAGAGCAGCATTTTTTGAATGGAGAAAAGGCTGTAAAACTCCAGCATTAATTAATCTCTAGATGAGGTCGAAGCAAGTTACGTTGACATTAATGTCACCGTAACAAAGTCCTAAATTTAAATTATTGATTAAGGTTTTATTTACATATTTTTTAGAATTTTAAAGAAACAAAATTGGCCCACATTGAAGGATGGCCGGCCCAGTTCCTAACTTCCTACGATACCTTCTCTTGTCTTACCGAATAGCTCATTCACAAATATCGGAATTTTACCGGCCGGACGATTTACGAAACGCCAAGGAGAAGGCAACCAAATTCTGCAAACCTTCTGCCTTTCCAACATCGATAGTAACTTTGCCTATAGAAAGAGCCGACGGAGACCAGCATATCCTACCGGATATCTTCTTGCTATATTCCTCCCAATCATCCGTTACCATACCGTCCGTATGGTATCAAAGTGTTATGTGACCGAGAGGTCTTGTGTTCGATTTTCGGTGACCCCATTTGTTAAGCACAGGTATTCGGACCTGTGCAAATTTCAAGCCCTTGTGAGTGGCTTTCGTTTGAGGGGGCGTGTTAGTGTGTGGTATATGATCCAAGATTGAACCTCTCCCAACAACTCGAGTTATTGGGATCAACTGGTTCTTGACATAGGGAATGACGTCCCTGGATTGTGGTAAAAAAGAAATAAAAATCCACGAGGACTCGAGTACCTACGCGTAGTTCAAAAGGAACGACATCCTCTTAATTTTCGTTTTATGATTATTATCAATTATGTGTGTTTTCTTGTCTTGAGAGAACATTAAAAAATTGTAAGATGAGGGCTAGTAAGCTTCTTTCTCCAACATTTAGACTCAATTATGAAAAGTTTATACAGTTTTTCATTTTTATTTCTTCCTCATTCTGAATCCTATCTTTGTTGACGAGCATAAATACATATTAAAGAGCGAAAGATCAAGTCAATCAGCCCCCTATTATAAATAGGGGTGCTCATTGTAGTCATTCATAATCCACCAAATTGAGTAGCACGATGATATATTTTGAATTGAATTTCTTTTAAACAAATCGATCGAGAATTACAAATCAATAATATAAATAAATATAGTATTTGCTCTTATAAAGAAGCTAAATTAACCAAAATTCATGACTCTTGGATCAAATTTTAGTACTCTCAAGTCCTGGGTACTTCTAGCGGGTTTTCCCCTTTTTGAGTTAAGCTCATTTATGTGTACATTTTTCACCAATAGGTAAAGTTCTAATTTCGTCACAAAACTAAAATTTACAAAATATACAAAACCCTTATTTTGTCATTCATGATACGAATCTTACCTGAATGGTAAAATTCTTACTTAAAGATCATAAGACACAAAATTTTGTAAGTTTTGTGGATCTTAATTTTACACCAAATATTATCCGGTAGATAAACAAGAATGTAGCTCTGTTATCTATCCAAATTTTGGTGACAAATAGTGACTAGATTGCAAAAACGACATCATTATCAATTCAATTATATCGTGGGGACCCTCTAGTTGCCAATCTGTCCTAATGAAGTTGATGCCGGGTTTTTAGTATTTACCTGAAAGTGGAACCTACCGAAGGAGAAGTAATTTAGGCAAAAAAAAACGCCGGCGAAAAATCCGATGGGAGTTCGCCGTGGAAGTTTGTAGAAAAGCCCAAACCATTCTGCACTGCCAACATCGATAGCAACCCTTCATTACAAGACAACTTCCACTCGGATATTCTTTTTGGATATCTTCTTTTGCCATACTCATTTGGAATTTTCCCCAAAATGCATAACTTGTTATGTAAAAATGAATTACAAGTAAATTATTTTTTTTCAAACTACAGAAGTTTTGGCTAGATTGTTGCAGTGTTCAGGGATTTTGTTGTAGATCGTTGCTAATCAAAGTGATATATCAAAATAGCTCTGCACGCTCCACGATTTGGGAACAAAATCAATGGAGAATATAAACGGTAGAATTTCATACGGTTGTAATTTTGTGTTTGGTTATTTGATCGACTCTATCTTATTATATTTTGCTTAAGTTTTCAAGAACTACAACTTTTGTTGGGGATAATTTCATAATATATGATGAAAACTCAAAATAATCCCAGAAGTATAATTAAAAAAAATGCACTGATTGGATAACCAAGCACAAAATTACGACCATTTGAAGTTCCGACGTCTATAAGGTGAAAATCACTCAATACCCTAGCGATTTTGAGGTCAATGATAGGGGATTCGACATGCCAATCCTCATAAATATCCGTCAAATTCATGAATGTGACATACAACAAAGTTAATGACTACTGAACTAGTTTTAACGAAAATTATAACCGAGTCTAGAAGCACGTTGTATCAGCATAAATGTTGGATAGTACCTGAACCAACCCCTATTTTTCATTTTTTTATATAATTGGCTAAATTACACGTTTGGTCACTCAAATTATACAAAATTTTCACGTTTGCCACTCGAATTACTTTTCTTTCTTATTTGCCACTAACTTTACGAAACGTTTCACCGTTAGTCACCGGCCGTTACACTCCGTTAAATTTGTCTTATGTGGCAGTCAACTATAAAGTTACAAAAAGTAATTTTCAGTCCACACTAACTTTACGAAACGTTTGGAAATAAAAAAATTCAAAAAAATATATTTTTCCACCTCATCATTCCACTTAATTTATCTATATAATTTATATCGTATTAATTATTATTTAATAAAAAGTAATAAATTACAAAAAGTAATTTTCAGCCCACATAACATTTCCTCCCCTACGTTGACGGAGAGATCCGGACGGTCGCCGTCCCCGACCATCGATCTCGCCAAGTTCTCCGGCCTCCCCGTCCATTACCAGCTCCCCAACGAGGAGAATCCCAACGGCTCGGACAGTTCGTGTTGGAAACAAAATAAAATAAAAAAGCTTCGTCTGATCGTCTCCATTGGGCTTTACAAGTGAAGCAAAAAGGAAGAAAGATGAAAACAAAAAATTGGGTGGCTATCGTCAGGAACTCCCTTCGCCCTGTAAATCGAAGTTCCCCTGCCCATTTCCTTCTCTTTGTCGCGAGGATTTGAAGTTAAACTCTGCGCTTTTAATAGCGTTGTTGGAGCGGAGAAGATAAGAAGAATCGACGACCAGGGAGATAGAAGCTACAATGGATCGGATCTCCGCCGTCACCCACCGTCAATCTAAACACGGGATTAGCTGGATCTTCGAAAGGGATGATTCCTCAACTGTCGTTGTTGGAGCGGGCGCCTGCAACAAACAAAATTATCTACTAAATCCTGATCCAGAATACCAACCTACCGCCCATAAAAAATATCCAAAAAACCCCATCGCAAGAACCCATTAATCAGAGGCGACGAAAGAGGAATCGACGCTGCAGATCAGAACGAAAGAGGATATGGGAGTTGAAGTTGACGGGGACGGCGGAGTTTGGCTGCAAAATGGGTTCGTGAATTTCGCTGATACTGCTCTCTGGAGCACGGTTGCCTCCTACTTTTCGAGCACCTTGGGGAGTTTCAATTCTCCGTGCAGGTTTACGGGAGCCCGGCCGCGGAGATTCGGTATCCCTCCGATAATTTATTATTATAATTTAATTAATTTTTATTGAATAAGTAATATGAAAAATGATATAGACAAAGTAAGGGTAATGATTAGGTGGAAAAATAAATTAATTTTTTAATTTATTTTAATTTTCACGTCATCTAGTTAACAGTCAAAATTTATAGTTGACTGCCACATATGACAAATTTAACGTAGTGTAACGGCCAGTGACTAACGGTGAAAGGTTTCGTAAAGTTAGTGGCGAATAAGAAAGAAAAGTAATCCGGGTGGCAAACGTGAAAGATTTATATAATTTGAGTGACCAAACGTTTTGAGTGACCAAACGTGTAATTAAGCCCAAATAGTTAATTACAAGACACTCGTGTAAAACCAAAGCTGATTTCACGTCATTATCTTAATCACGACCCCCAACCAACCAACACAAACCCAATCCGTGCCTATAAATTGTCTCCAAACACAACCTTCTCCATCCACCACCACACAAAACAAAGAGAGACAGACACATATTCATTACACCACCATGATAAACTACGAGAACTATGATCTCTCCTTCCCTGACCAGCCCGTCGTCGACCTCTACCTCCCCGTTTGGGCCTCCCTCCCGGCCTTCCGCTCCAAGCCCGCCTTCATCTGGGCCGACGACGGCCCCAATCCTGCAGCCAAAACGACAACCGTACTGACCTACTCTCAGCTCAACGACGCCGTCCAATCAATCTCAGCCCAACTCCTCCTCCGCCTGAACCGCCGCGACACCATCCTCGTCCTCTGCCAGCCCGGCCTCGACCTCATCGAGGTCCTCTTCAGCTGCCAGCGTGCCGGCCTAGTCAGCGTCCCAATGTTCCCTCCACACCCGTCTTTCCGGAACGACGCCTACCACCACCTGGCTCGGGTCATCACCCAGACCCGACTCAAGGCCGCCATTGCCCACCCCGACTACATAGCCGGGGTTCGTCGTTACATTTCTTCTTCCTCTTCGTCATCATCCTTCTCGAGCAATCTTGCGCGATTGCTCGAAGAGATTAAGTGGATATCCACCGAGGACATCAAAAGGCCAATAGCAAAGAAGTTATTGGGCGCACAGACCCAGAGTTGTGGGCCCGAAGAAGTGTACTTGATCCAGTACACTTCGGGGGCCACAGGACTACCGAAGCCGGTCCTGATCACTGCCGGTTCGGCGGTCCACAACGTCAGGGTCGCGCGGAAGGCCTACGATCTCCATCCCAACAGTGTGATCGCATCGTGGCTGCCGCAGTACCACGACTGCGGCCTCCAATTCCTCCTCCTCACGGTGATCTCCGGCGCGACCTCTGTTCTGACCTCGCCGTTCGCCTTCCTCCGTCGGCCGCGGATTTGGCTGGAAATGATCTCCGATTTCAAAGCGACCTGCTCCCCAGTTCCTTCCTTCACTCTGCCGCTCGTCCTGAAGCGTGGCGGAGTCTCAAATCAAACCGATTCGATCTCGTTAGACAGCATGAGGAATTTAATCCTCATCAACGAGCCGATTTACAAGTCGGAGGTGGACGAATTCATCGCGGTTTTCGACAAATTGGGGCTGAGACGGGCCTCGATTGCGCCGTCGTACGGCCTGGCGGAGAACTGCACTTTCGTCTCGACGGCGTGGAGAGACGTGGAAGACAACGGAGGAGGAATCGATGAGCTTCCGTGTCACAACAAGCTGCTGCCGAGCGCGGTTCTTTCGTCGGAGCGCGAAGACGGCGACGAGGAGATGGAGATCGTGGTGGTGAACGAGGAAACAGGGGAGCTCGCGGAGGACGGGGTGGAAGGCGAGATCTGGATCTCATCGCCGAGCAATTGCTCCGGCTACTTGGGGCATCCGTCGCTGAGCCGGGAGGTTTGCAGAGCGCGGCTGAAGGACAGAACGAGCCGACTCTGTTTTCTCCGGACCGGAGACAGGGGAATCGTCATTTCCGGCGGGAGAAAGGATCGGTATCTCTACGTGACGGGGAGGTGCGCCGACGTGATCAGGACGGCCGGCGGGAGAGAGATTCACGCGCATTACATCGAGACGGCGGCGCAGAGGAGTTCCCCTGAGTTTATCAGGGGAGGGTGCCTGGCCGGGTTCGCGGTCGAAAACGATGTCGTATTGGTGGTGGAGATGCAGGGTAAATTTGGCGGGAAAGATGCGCTGAGCAGAATTTGCGAGGGGATTAGGAAGGTGGTTTGGGAAGAGGAGAAAGTGGAGGTAGGGAAGGTGGTTTTGGTGAAGGGTGGGAGTGTGCCGAAAACGACGTCGGGTAAGGTTCGGCGGTGGGCGGCGAAGGAGAAGCTGGTTGCCGGAGAGATGGGGGTTTTGATGGAGGCCAAGTTCGGTGGAGAAATGGATGAGAAGGATGGAGGAGGAGGAAGAAGATCGATTGAGTTGATGTTGTTAGGGTCTGGGAATTACCAGCAGCAGCAGCAGGAGGAGGACAAGTCTTTGCTGCGTTCTCATTTGTGAAAATTGATCATTCCCTGTAATTCTGCAGTTATATTGAAGTATGATATCATGTATCCAAGCTTAAAAGAGTTGAGTGTGCTTTTTTCAAATGAACAAGATGGAGTCTCTACATAAGAAAAAGAACAAGAATACAAGATGAAGGTAACATAGTAGGTAGCATTGTGACAAGAAGGTAATCCTTTCTATAAGAAAATTAATCAAAGGTTTAAACAGAATCTACATTGAACCAAAATGGTAATATAAGTTATTTTGTCCTCATCAATGGATTTGGTTCAAACTAAATTGCTTATGGTTACAACTATTCATGAAACAAGTCAGTGAAAATTAATGATGCTCCATCTTATTAATCATCCAAATTTTATCAATGCCTTGTCCTTGAGCATATCAACATTGAGTGTGTTATGTAGTAGAGGGGAAGAAGGTTTCTTGATTAAATTTGATGGGATGGGATGACTGATGAGTGTGATAGCATCTCTTCAGTCAAGTTACCAAAAAAATGATTCTTCATGGAAGAAACAAGCATATTGACATGAGATTTTACTTTCTCGAGGATCTTCTTCAAAAAGAAGTTGTGGAGCCGGTACATTTTGGAACCTAAGGGCTCGTTTGGAAGTTGCGATTGTTTTGTTGAGATTGTCATCATGCATGTATTGTTTACAATGCATCGGTTTTTTGTTTTTTTTAGCAGAAACAATACATGGATTGTTTCTATGATGTGACAGAAACTATCACTCATTTTGAGTGATTGTTATATCTCAACTTTTAGTAGTGATTGTTGAGATAGTTGAGTTGAGATTGTTTTGTCTCAGCTTTTAGCTGATGCGACATACACAATCACACATACCAAACGTTGTATTCTACAATGCATCAAATTCGACAATACATGTATAATATTATACATGCATTCTCAACAATACATCTATTTAACAATCGCAACTTCCAAACGACCCCTAAGAATAAGTTGCACTAGAGCTACCTTTGCTTGACCGAAGGTTGATGATGATGTGAACCGAAGCTTGTTGTCAGGTTTTAGTTCAAGGAAGGATCTAGGGATGTCAATTTGAACTCGTTCCGTCGGATATTATTCAACCTGATCTAGGTTAAGGTGGGCATGAGTTATTACTTCCACCATGCTCTGTCCTGTATCGTTTCATTCTTGACCTGTCTTATGGAAATTTCATTAGGGCTAAGATCAGGTGACTAAGGGGGCCCCTTAGTCATGTGACTAAGTGAATCTCAACCCTTCCACCTCATTAAAATCCAATGGTCCTGATTAATCCAATTTAATGAAGGGCAATGTAGTAATTTAATTATTTAATTTGTATTTACCAATTAAAATAAATAAAAATACAGGCCACCGATCCGTTTTCTTCTCCGGCGGGCTGGGTATTTTTTTCTAGAGAGTTTCGACCCATTCCTGTCGGGCGATCCTTCTCTCTGGTTGCGTGGAAATAATTGGTCGGACCACTTTTCCCAGGGGTGGCAATTTTTCTCCCAGAGAGAGAGAGAGAGAGAGAGAGAGAGAGAGAGAGAGAGAGAGAGAGATTTTCGGCGACCGGAGGAAACTTTTCCGGCGACCAGCGACAATGGAGAAGGATTTCCCGGCGACAGTGTTGGGTTGGTGATGTTTGCTGACTTGTTTTGTATGTTTGTTTAGATTCGGTTTGTATTGTTTGTCATTTTTAGTGACATTTTGTACGGTTAGTATGCTTTGTACTGTTTGTCGGTTTATTTTGTAATGTTTGTACGCTTTGTTATTTTGTAATGTTTGTCGGTTTTCTTTTGTAATATTTGTAAACTTTGTTATTTTTGTGCACCATGTTTATCATTTTTGTCAACCATGTTTGTAATATTTTTTATGTCTAAAAAACAACCTAGTTGACTTTTGGATGAAACTCCTCTATATAGGGATGAAGCCTCCAAAGTCAACCCGGGTGTTTTATCCAGTTTGTATGGATTGTCGGTCTAGTTTGTCATTTTTGTTCACCATGTTCGTAATGTTTGTATGTCTAAAAAACAACCGGGTTGGACTTTGAGACGAAGCCCTCTATATAGGGATGAAGCCTCCAAAGTCAACCCGGGTATTTTTCCAGTTTGTATGAATTTTTGGTCTAGTTTGTCATTTTTGTCCACCATGTTTGTAATGTTTGTATGTCTAAAAAATACCCGAGTTGACTTTGGGAAGGAGCCCCTCTATATAGGGATGGAGCCTCCAAAGTCAACCTGGTTGTTTTTTTCTTTTTGTATGGTTTGTATTGTTTGTCGGTGTAGTTTGTATTGTTTGTACAGTTCATATGTTTGTAAAGTTTGTAAATCTGTTTGTATGTTTTGTCACTCTAGTTTGTACTATTTGTATGTTTGTATGGTTTGTACTGATTGTATGTCCGGTTTGTATACTTCGTAATTTTCCATAATACCCAAACTACCCCTGTCATTAATTAAATACCCTTCCCACTTTGTAACCATCAGATTGATGTGTCTAGATCTAAGGGCTGGGAGGGGCTTAGTCAAGTGACTAAGCACCCTCCTTAGTCACCAGATCCTCTCTCTTTTCTTAAATATCTATTTGTATCTCGTATTTTTAAAATTATCAATAATATTTTCACCCAATGAAACTTTATACAGATACAAGACTAGATCTTTCAATTATTTAGACTCAATTACCCATTCTATTATCATTATGTTTCATTCATGAAATATTATCCTTTATTTTATCCTTTTTTTGTATTTATTTTCTTCAAATAACATGTGAGAATATAGGTCGACCTTCTCCGATCCGTACTCACACGAATTTTATCCAATCTTATATGTGTTTGATACGAAACGAATATGAGTATTGAGATACGCGTTATCTCTTTACCATCGTAGAAGGATCTGCTAACAAGATTTGAAACCAGGCTGACAGAAGGATGAGCTGAAGTTAGTGTTCCAAATAAAGTGACTGTTAGGCGAAACTTTGTTGTATTGGTCATTTATTATTTCAGTCCTTCAGTTTGGATATATGTCATTTCAGTCCATTCCGCAAGTGTACTTAATTTGCTGGTTTGTAGTGTGCTGTTAGCAGTTAGCTTAGTTAGATGTGTTGACTAAGAGTTTCACTTGCAATTTAATCTTTGGTCTTTAACATTATTTATGTTCGATCATTTTTGGTTGTATTAGTTGACTTCTCTAGTTCTCTTTATGATATTTATAAATAAAGGATTGTAAAATCGTACTGGAAGATGTACCGGAATAGTTAATCGTAATATATTTTATGTTGAAACATTGGTTTAACTGTCATACAACAGTTTCATATCGCTAAAATTGTCTATCGATTTAACCTTAAAAAGTTTTATAGGTTGGACTGGCAGTACGATACAGTTTTTACAAACACGATATAATTGTCATGTCCCTGTCCAAGCTGCTAATGATGGACGAAGAAGGAAATAATGAAAACCGAATTTCCAGATTTTGGGCCTAAATGCTGAACGAATGAAACGCAAGGAGAAATTGTAAGAAAGCACAGGATTGGTTTGAATTTTGAAATGCTGTGAATCCTTGGCACCAATGGATTGGAAGAAAGTGAAAGCTCTTTATATATGTCCTTTATCAGTTTTGTAGTTTTCAAACCCTCTAACTCGGTGTATGACAATGGAGTCTGTCCAAATCTTAATATGAATCAACATAGTTAGTAAAATATGGTACGAGAAAGTTACATATAAAATACGTATGGGTATTATACTTCATTTATAAGGTAAAGTTACGTTTAATAGTACGTTAATAGTCATAAAAATATAAATTAACTATTATAAAAATAAATAATAGTAAAGTTAATAATTTAATTCATAAATACGGATAATAAACGTGTTATACGGGTTTTATACGTATTAAGTACGGGAGCCATCAAATGAGCGGATAAAAATGAAACGGTTTGACAATAATATGGATATGGAAGTTTTAAACGGATAAAAGACGTACGGGTACATATACGTGTATTAAACGAAGTATTTTTTTTTTTGGCAAAGTCAGAGTATAAATCCGAAGTCACAGACCAGAAGAAAGTAAAGCGCGGGAGTCGACCAATAGTCGAACTCCCGATGAGAGGGCCTTTTGTGCCACATGATGGGCAGCCCTATTAAGTTGACGAGAAACAAAACAGAAAGAAACACTGAGGAAGGAAGATGCCAAGCTCCTAACGTCTTCCAAAATAGCGCCACCCCGAACATGATGCAAATCACCTCCAATCATCCGGCGGATCAAGAGTTGAGAATCCCCATGAAAACAAACAGAAAGAAAGGAATGAGTTAAACACCATTGTACAGCATCCCGTAGGGCTAAACATTCCATGAGAAAAGGGTCCTGAATACCATCATAAAATTTCCCAAAAGCAAACAGAACATTACCTGTCGTATGATAGCCGACAAAGCCAATACTGCCTCCATGCCCACTCTTGGTAGCACCATCAAACCAGACATTGATAAAAGTTGGGGAACCTGGAGTCGTAGGTGCGATACTGGGAGTGCGAGAAGGGCCTAGAGCTGCAGAAACAGTGCCACCGAAAGGCTGAATCGATGAATTGGGCCCTAACGTCCTCCACTCATCCACCTGTCGTTGAAACTGCCGAAACAGAGCTGAAGGGAGATATTGGATGCCTTCGTGGACCGACCAACACCTCCCCTTCCAAAGCCGCCAGAGAATGAAAACAATATAAGCTATCTCAATTTTCGAAAGGTTCATTGAAAAGAAAAGATGACACCAGGCCTCATCAGGACTCATTCCTCCAAGAGTAATGCATACACCTTCAAGGTCCGCCAGCCTCCACAGTCCCTGAGCGACCCTGCAAGAGAAGAAAAAATGGGAAAAGGATTCTGGTTCACCGGAACATATAGGACAAATCGTGTCAGACACAAGAGTTTTAGTAAACAAAACTATCTGCAGGGGCAAGAAGCCACGGACAGCACGCCAAAAAAAGAACTTTAGCTTTGGAGGAACATGAATACTCCAAACGGAGTATTTACTAACTATTGAAAGAAAGAAACCCGCCGCATGCCCGTGTACTGTACACGCAGACACCTTTTACTGTACAACGTGACTGAGATTTACTGTTTCAAACTGGCGTGTCCTTCGGTGTGGGTTGGAGTTGGGTGAGGCCTCATTGGGATTTGGCGTGGGATTTGGCGGGCTCTGGGGTCTCGGTCGGTGTGGGGCTGGTCGTTGGCTTCTGGTT